GTTAATTTACAAAACTATTTAAATCATTTATGGGTTGGGCAAATAAATGGCAAATGAGTTTTAACTATAATAACAGTTTCATTTTTCTAACAGGGTGGTTGGCCTTTGGAATGGGTTGTCTTCGTACATTTAAGTGAGTTTAAGAGAAAGCTTGATAAGTATATGAATAATAATGGCTGTCTTTGAGGTTTTTTATTATTTATTTATTTTTATTTAATAATTTTAGTTTAGTTTGGAGTAAGGGACAGCCTAGATAGACCAATAGGTCCCTTGTTGTTCCTAAACATTATGCTATATGAATACAGAGTGCTTACGTCCATAATGATCAACACCTAAAACGACCATATACAATGAATTTCAAAAAATGTTGAATTTTTCTATGCCAATAATAATAATTAACGCTATATAAAAATATAATTTTATTTTTTTTAAAAAAACAGACTTACATCTTGTCTCCTCCATTCTTCAGTAATCGGCCAAATATACGAATAGAATAATTTTAGATTCGGTTTGTGGAAGCTTGGAGTTGGTTCGAAATATGTTCAGTCTTAACACTACTGTGTAATTTCCAATCATTTGTTATGACGTTAGATATCGCATACTTGGAAGACGTGATAGTATGTTTTTCAACGCGGTACGATGTCATAATATCCAATATACATATCAGGTACTGAAATACGTCAATACCTATCGTTAATACACAACTAATGGAGATATTCTATTTCAGACACTGTAGTAAAGAGACACACGACAGATTTGAAGATAGTGTGTTACTTTTCCAATTGGGCAGCCTACAGACCAGGATTAGCCAAGTTCACACCCGAGAATATTAACCCTTACCTCTGTACCCATCTGATTTACGCCTTTGCTGCCTTAAATAAAGATTATGAGCTCAAGCCATATGATCCATACAATGATATTGAGCAAGGTAAACTTGTTTTTTAATCTTTTAATTTTAAGTTACTTAATATTTGTTGGAGAGTCCATACCAGGTTGCCAAAGAAAAATTATGTTCCAATCTTCATATTTTTGTCTCAAAATAAGATCTCACGTGTTATACATAAATAAAATCTATCGAGACAGATTTCGCGCTGATTTATCTGTTCAGTTTATTACAGAGTAAGATTTCATTTTAGTTTATGTTTGTCTTTTTATCACATTGCAAGATTTGATCTTATTCTGTTTCTTTTGTTGTGAGGGCCCGGCATGGCCAGGTGGTTAAGGCACTCGACTCTCAATCTGAGGATCGCGGGTTCGAATCCCCGTCACACCAAACATGCTCGCCCTTTCAGCCGTGGGGGCGTTATAATGTGACGGTTAATCCCACTATTCGTTGGTAAAAGAGTAGCCCAAGAGTTGGCGGTGGGTGGTGACGACTAGCTGCCTTCCCTCTAGTGTTATACTGCTAAATTAGGGACGGCTAGCGCAGATAGCTCCCGTAAAGCTTTGCGCGAAATTCAAAACAAACAAACAATCTTTTGTTGTTTTATCATAAGGTAAGATTTGATCTTAGTGTGTTTTCTTTTGTCTATATATTACAATGATTAGAGTAAACCTTAATCGTTGCTTTTTCTCTCCCTCTATCACAAAGTAAGATTTGTGTTTAGTCCCTGTTGTTCTTGTGTTTTGTCTTTTTATTACAAGATGAAATGTAATTTTACTCTGTTTGTTCTCTTTAGTCTCTTCATAAAAATAAAAAAAGTGTAAACACCACCAGGCATCTAAAGCTTCCTATTCTAGGTGAACGTTGCACGAAGTCCTCACACGGAAACAAGACGATAACTTTTCCACAAATGAAGGGCATTTTTTAAACTCTATACGAGCAAGCCGTGGCTTAACGATGAGAGTAGCCCAAGAGTTGGCGGTGGGTGCTATTGACTAGCTGCCTTCCCTCTAGTTTATCAGCTCACAATTTGAACAGCTCTGTGCGAAACATTCTATCCCAATCAAGAAAAACAAAACCTATCTCGAAAAAATTAAGTAAAAATCCCGTAGCTAAATAATTTAAATTCGCTCAAGAAAAAAATGAAACAAAAATCCAGTAGCTAAATAATTTAAGTTCGCTCAAGAAAAAACTAAGTAAAAATCCAGTGATTAATTAATTTAAATTAGCTGAAAAAATTAGGAAAAATCCAGTAGATAAATAATTTTAATTCGTTCAAGAAAAAATTAAGTAAAAATCCAATAGCTAAATAATTTAACTCAAGATCCTGTACATAATAATATTTCTACAATGGGAAAGAATAGGATCTATCCTAGTACTGTGTTTCTGGAGAGAATGACCCCAAAGTAACAACCAGAACGCTGAGTACTGTGTTTTTGAGAGAACTACCCCAAATAAGTACTGTGTTTTTGGAGACACGATCCCAAAGTAACAACCAGAACGTTGAGTACTGTGTTTTGGAGAGAACTACCCCAAAGTAAGTACTGTGTTTTTGGAGAGAACGATCCCAAAGTAACAACCAGAACGTTGAGTACTGTGTTTTTGAAGATAACGACTCCAAAGTAAGTACTGTGTTTTTGGAGACACGATCCCAAAGTAACAACCAGAACGTTGAGTACTGTGTTTTTGAAGATAACGACCCCAAAGTAAGTGCTGTTTTTATGGAGAGAACGATCCCAAAGTAAGTACTGTGTTTTTGGAGACACGATCCCAAAGTAACAACCAGAACGTTGAATACTGTGTTTTGGAGAGAACTACCCCAAAGTAAGTACTGTGTTTTTGGAGAGAATGACCCCAAAGTAACAACCAGAACGTTGAGTACTGTGTTTTTGAAGATAACGACCCCAAAGTAAGTGCTGTTTTTATGGAGAGAACGATCCCAAAGTAAGTACTGTGTTTTTGGAGACACGATCCCAAAGTAACAACCAGAACGTTGAGTACTGTGTTTTGGAGAGAACTACCCCAAAGTAACAACCAGAATGTTGTTTGTTTTATAGTTTTTGTTTGTAAATTTTGGAAAATTAAACTAATTACTTGCGTGTCTTTCTTAGACTATCTCAAATATATTATGGATTTGTAACGGAAACAGAAACCAGGAGCTGACCCTCTCGTCAAACAATCTAAAAATTGTATAATGGTTTTGGTTTCTAGGTAATTACAAGAAATTTGTTGGATTGAAAACGTACAATCCGAAGTTGAAGATGATGGTTGCTATTGGAGGGTGGAACGAAGGCTCCAAAAGGTGTGGTATATTTCAAATGGCCTATAATTTTAATGTTTGATTTATTAAACGTTGCAGTTATATATATGTTGATATTAGTTTGTTTTAATGTTTGCTTACTGCGTTAAATAGTGAAGTGATATATCTAACGATGAAAAACCTTGTTACACCTCCAACAAAGAGATCTTTTTAAAGCTTTATTTATCCTAACTTAAACAGAAGGGCTTGTTTAAATAACTTTTAGGCTAAACGAACCAGATAGTAACAAGGGAATGCGCTCACTTTGAGAATTCCCACTGACTGAAAGGTTTGGCGGCGTGTTTGGAATTATGAATAAAGTACTATCAAACTAAAACAGCAGGAAACAGCCACCTGGTGATCAAATTGCTAGGAACCATTTAACATTATAAGTGGTTTTATAGTAGGCAGCGCAAATAACTTCTGTTCCTTTCGTTTCAACTAATTGGAGTATATTAACATAAATATCGTTTAAAACCCTGATCACCCTACTCGAAAAATGTTAGCTTTTACTTGGTGCTTTCTTTAATCACTTTACTCATCATTGGACGTTTCACCTATCTTTAAAACACTTGTTACTCCTCATTAACGTTTCGCCTATTTATAAAACACCTGATTAAAAATCACTTTGCTCATCATCGCGTTTCATCTATCTTTAAAAGACTTGTTACTCATCATTAACGTTTCGCCTCTTTATAAAACACGTGATTAAAAATCACTTTGCTCATCATCGACGTTTCACCTATCTTTAAACATATGTTTAAAACACTTGTTACTTATCACTAACGTTTCGCCTATTCATAAAACACGTGATTAAAAATCACTTTGCTCATCATCGACGTTTCACCTATCTTTAAAACATATGTTTAAAGCACTTGTTACTTATCACTAACGTTTCGCCTATTTATAAAACACGTGATTAAAAATCACTTTGCTCATCATC